AACTTTTATGGACATTGGCCTAGGCAAATAATTTTTGGCTAAAACCCCGAAAACCAGTGCAACTAAAACAAAAATAAATAAGTGAAACTCAAAAGCTTCTGCACAGCAAAAGAAGTAATCAACAGCAAACAGGCAACCTACAGAATGCGTGAAGATATTCAAAAACTATACATTTGACAAAGGACTAATATCCAGAATCCACAAATAACTCAAACAAAGAAGCAAGAAAAAAAAGCATATAACCACATTAAAAAGTAGGCAAATGACATAACTAGACATCTCTCAAAAGAAGACATACAAATGGCCATTAAACATATTTTTAAATGTTCAACATTACTCATAATCAGGGAAACACAAATTACTATCACAATGAGAAACCATCCTACACCAGTCAGAATGGCCATTATTTAAACAATCAAAAAACAATAGATTCTGGCACAGATGTAGAGAAAGGAGAACACTTATACACTGTTGGTGGGAGTATAAATTAGTACAACCTCTATGTAAAGCAGTTTGAAGATTACACAAAGAGCTAAAAGTAGAGCTACCATTTGACCTAGCAATCCCACTGCTAAGTGCCTACCCTAAGGAACAGAGGTCATTATATAACAAAGACACCTGCATCCTCAATGTTCATTGCTGCACAATTCATAATTGCAATGATGTGGAATCATCCTAAATTCTCACCAACCTATCAGTGGATAAGGAAAATGTGGTATATGTACACAATGGAATACTACACAGTCATAAAAATAATGAAAATCATGTCCTTTGCAGCATTATGACTGGAGCTGGAGATCATCAACCTCAGTAAACTGATTCAGAAACAGAAAACCACATGATCTCCCTTATATGAGGTAGCTAAATGGTGACAAAGATGATGATGCTAATAGATACTGGGACATCAGTAAGGGTGAGAAAAGACGGGATTAGGGTTCAGAAACTACCTACGGGGCACAATGTTCACTATCTGGAGAGTGAAACCCAATCCCCACCACTACACAATGTGTTCATGTAACAAATACACATGTGTACAACCTGAATCTAAAAAAGAAAAAAAAATTGCAAGAAAAAAATGGGTACTATATTAGAAAATAGAGGTTGGCAAGAATGAAGATTTTATTCTAAATTAACTTTATTTTTATGTCAGAATGAATTTAAAATAGATATGTAAACATCGGTTTCATGTATATTCTTCAGTGAAAAGCAAGTATGTAAGCAAAATAAAATAAAAATGTTAGCGCAGATGCCCCCTCCTCAAAGCTTGGCCCTGGTCACCTGAACAGATGTCCCTCCCCAGGGCTAAGACCCAGGACTCCTGCACAGATGCTCCAACCCACAGGCTGGCCCAGTTATCTGTACAGAATCCTCTACCCCGGCTGAACCCTGGTCACCAGCACAGTGTCCCCCTTCCCCAGTCTGGGCTCTAGTCACTAGTAGAAAGGTCCCCTCTCCTAGAGTGGGCCCTGGTTATCTTCACAATTGCCAGCTCCCCCAAAGTGGACCCTAATCACCTGCACAGAAGATTGACCCCTAGACAGGGCCAGGTATACATGCACTTTCTCAAGGTCAGGCTGGGTCAGTGGCACAGACAGCTCCTCACCAAATCTAAGCAGAGTAACAAGCACCGACACCCTCTGCCCAACACTGGGCTCTGGTCACCTGCACAGACACTGGCTCCCTTATCCTGGGCCCTGGTCACCAGCATGGAAGCCATATCCCCCAGCTGGACCCCAGTCAACTGCACAGACACCCCCTTCCTGTTTGGGTACACCTGGGTCAAGGTCACATAGACCCTTCTCCCCAGGCTGTGCTTGGATCACCAGCACAGAAGTCCCCTGCCCCAGAATGGACACTATCATCTCCACAGAAAACCACTCTCCCAGCCTGACACCCAGTCCCAGCACAGATGCCTCTTCCCTGGGTGGGCCTCTCTCCCCAGCAGAGTCCCCCTCTTTGAGGCTGGGCCAGAGAGAAGCCTGCAGAGAAGCTCCCACCCTGAGGCTGGGCCTGGGTCACCTGCATAAAGGTGACCTCTCCCAGGCTGGATCTCTGTCATTAGCACAGTGGTTCCCTTCCCTAGGCTAGTCAAGGGCCAGTGGCACAGATAGTCCCTTACCAAGTCCCATACACCAGGACAAATGCCCCACCCCCCTACTGGGCCTGGTCACACTCTCCCCAGGAATAGCCTCAGGTCACCAGCACAGAAGCCTCTGCCCCTGGGCTGGGCCCTGGACACCTACACAAAAATCCCTCCCTTCCAGACTGTGCCTGGGTGCTGGTCATAGAACCAGGCTGGACCCCAGGTCACCTGCACGGAGGCCCCCTCCCTTAGGCTGTGTCTTGGTCACCGGCACAAAAGCCCCCTTCCCCAGGTTAGGCACCAGTCTCTTGCAGAGATGCCCCTCTTGAGGCTGGACCCCTGTCACCTGCATAGACTCCCCTCCTGGAGGCTGGGCCCTGACTACCAGCACAAATGTGGTCCTCAGGTGCCTCACCCTCCTGAATTTCATCCACACTACCCACAGTGGACAGCCACCTCTCCCATTATGGTCTTGTCACCTAAGTCACCTGGGGTAAGTTCTGCTGCTTGTTGATACCTCAGTTATACCTCAAGGGAAGATGATCATGGAGTAAGAAAGCTATTAATTAATATTTTTAATTTGCATAATACATTACAGCTTACAAACTCATTTTACCATTAATATAGCTCTTGGAAGTCAATTGTAAGTGGATTGTTTATATAATCAATTGATGAAGTCAATGCAGAAATAAGCAAAAGTGATGTTTCTTCATTCAGATCATGGCTTATCTGATCCTTTCTGACAGTATGGATTTCCAGAAGAAAGGTATAGAGTCTGTATGAGCATCAGCATTGTCCAACAGAAATAAAAAGCAGGCCACAATCTAGTGTCTGCATTAAAATGTAAAGACAGTGAAATTAACTTTATTACTAGATGTATTTGGCCCAGATTGTCCAAAATATCACTTCAACATATAGCACTACATTCCAATTTTTAATGGTATATGTTTACATTTTGGCACAAAGTCTTAGAAAGATGGTGTATGTTGACCACCTGGAGCATAGTCATTTGGCCATATTTCAAGTGCTGGATAGCCTCATGTTACCCCACAGAACAGCAGTGCTGTAGGAATGGGAACACACACATCTGGGATTGAGAGTCCAGGAAGTTTCCAGAGGGAGCCAGTTTTAACAGTTCTGGAAACAAATGGGTGCCGTGGCCTACGACATGTGAGGGCAGATCTGGGAAGGGATGGCTGAGGGGATGATGGAGAGAAAACCCAGGGACCAGAGACAGACAGGCTGTGGTCATCAGCGAGTGTGCCTCAAAACTTCAGGAAAACAGACATGAAGAAAGAAAGGTGGGCCCTAGATACCACAAACAGAAAAACCAGCCCAAGGAAATTAATAGAGCAATTGGAACACTTACAAATAAGTGTGATTAAATATTCTAAGGGAGGTGAGAGAGTCACAGATACACATCACAGGTTGGCATGAAGAGGACAGTATCACGATGCTGGTAACTGAAAGGCATAACTGTAGAAAACAAACATGCAGCCAGCCCAGGGAGGAGAGTCAGAACTGACACAGTGAGAGCTGTCACACTCAGGAAAGCCAAGCCAGCAACAACATACCTGGAAACAACATGCAGTATATTCTGAGAGGATGCTTAGCGGGCACAGAGGAGAGGAAGACATACTGCCTAATAAACCTTCATGAAGATGAAAACAGAGTGAATAAAGAAAAATTTCCATGAAGAAAAAACCTTTCTCATAAGAAATCATGATATTTCATATTAAAATAATTTAATGCATGTTAAGGAGAATAAATACAAATTACCAAACTGTGAAGAAATTCTGAAGCAAAAAAGCAATGAAAAAACAATGTCTGCACACTAGATTTTTAAGAATTTTAAACGATTTATTTGAAAAGCTAACATATGTGTGCAGTAAAAATATATAAACTTAAGAATTCATGATGTTAAAATAATAATGTCTAATTTAAAAATCTCAAAGGTAAGGTTACAATATTTTTAAAAGAGCTATATTATTATTCAGCTTTCCAAGTAGCTGGAACTACAGGCACACGCCAGCCACCACGCACACACACACACAAATAACAATTTAAAAGAGCTATATTATTATCATTAAGACAGAAATAAGGAAGAAATTGGGTGTAAGAACATTAATTTTATGAATGAGAAGTAATCCCCAACTAATTTTTAGTTTTCTCTCCGTTGTTGAACAAGGAGTCGAAGGACAATAAAGCCTGGTGAACCTCAAGGGGAAGTCACACAGACAACTCTGAACTGATCAAGAGCACAGTGCACTGCCGAGCCCTGCAGGGTACCCGGGATGGACACTGTCCCCAGGTCCTGTGTAGTCCCGAGGTGACACTGCCCCAAGTCCTGCAGGGTCTCGGGGTCGACACTGTCCCCAGGTCCTGTAGGGTCCGAGATGACATTGCCTCAGGTCCTGCAGGGTCCGAGGTGACATTGCCTCAGGTCCCGCAGGATCCTGGGCGGACACTGTCCCAGGTCCTGCAGGGTCCCGGGGCGGACACTGTCCCCAGGTCCTGCACGATCCGAGGTGACAGTGCCTCAGGTCCTGCAGGGTCCCAGGGCGGACACTGTTCCCAGGTCCTGCAGGGTCCCGGGGTCGACACTGTCCCCAGGTCCTGAAGGGTCCCAAGGTGACATTGCCCCCGGTGCTTCAGGGTCCGAGGTGACACTGCCTCGGGTCCTGCAGGGTCCCGGGGCGGACACTGTCCCCAGGTCCTGCAGGGTCCTGAGGCGACGTTGCCCCAGGTTCTGCAGGGTCCCGGGCAGACGCTGCAGCCCTGTAGTAAGTTTTCTCAGGATGGCAATGAATACCTCGAAACACCGCGATAGCCAAGCCCAATAACTGCTACGGAATAAACGCGAGAGGAAAGATCGCGCAGTTCTCGCGAGAGGAGACCGAGGCCCTCAGGACCCTTGCCAGGCCTGGCTCCGCGGCGGTCGTGAGGACGGACTTTCCGAGCAGCATGCCGTCCGCGTTCTCGGTCAGCTCTTTCCCTGTCAGCATCCCCGCCGTCATCACGGTAACTCGCAGCCTGTGTGACGCCCGATTCGGGCGAGAGCGGTGGTGAGGCGCGCGTCGGACCGTCCAGAGTCGTAGCCGGGTGGGCGGGGCCGGGCCGGGCGGCGGAGCGTGCGGAGGGGCGGGTGTCCAGTGCCGGGTGGAGGCGGTGTCGGCCGTGCGGGCGGGACGCACCGACGAGTCCTGCACCACGCGGGCGTGGCTTGGGCTTTGTGGGCGGGGCATGGGCGGTGGGTCCGGGCGTGGGCGGGGCGTCGGGGGCAGGGCTGGGTCCGTGTGTTCCCGGCCTGCGGGGCGGGGCCTGCGTCTTATGGGCGGGGCCTGGCCCTTGTGGGTGGGGCGTGGGCGGGGCGTGCGAGGCGGAGCATGGTGATGTTTTGGGTGGTGTGTGGGCTGAGCTTCATGTCCCCGGGGGTCGGGGGCGGGGGTGGTTGGCGACTTGGCGGTGCCAGGGCAGAAAGCCATGCTCCCTTCACATCTCCGCCTGTGGCTTCTTGGTCCATGTGTTGAAGGTCGCACATGAGTTTGTTTCCTTATCCCTGGCATAGGTTCTGGAGAGGTCCCAGCACAAGCAGTGGACACTTAGACAAGTCCTGAAGGACTTTGCAGGGCGCCAACTTTGAGAACAGGGCTTGTCTCATGCAAGAGGGGGCCCAGAGGTGGCGTGGAAAGAGTAGCCAGAACTGAGGGCTGAGCATCAGGTGAAGACGGCAGGGGGGGGGGGGGGGTGGTGTCCTGAGCATCTGGTGGAGACCTGGCATCAAATAGAGTTGAGCTTGCGGGCCACTTGTCTCCAGGTCCTGCAGGGTCCTGTGGAGTGGAGGAGACTGGGGAGTGCAGCAGGATTCGGAGGGCTGGGCATATTGCAGAAAGATTGGGAAAATAAAATCCTGCACATTAGGTTGGATCAGATTTCCCAGGGCCTTCAGTGCTAGTCTTAGGAACTTGAAATAGTTCTTGTTTAACACCAGTGTAACCAAATATATCGCTTTGGACGAGTCACTTAGCATCCTTGTCACCCCAGGGAATAGTAATCCCTTAAATTTTATCCAGCTTCAAAACACGATTCTGTTGCACAAGCAAGAAGGGGGGGCGGTCACTGATGTCCTCAGTTCTTTGTGCCAGAGCTTTGCGTTCCATGGGTTCTGCTTGCAGTGGAGGGAAAGTCCTGCTTCCATCCTCTACAGTCCTTGTCCTTCTCCTGTTCCCTGTGTTTCTGTGAGGCCTGGCCGTGCTGTCTGGATGCCTTGCTGAGTGACCCCAGGAGAACTCAGGGGTTGGGAGGCTGCTGGCTCTTCTGACCCTGGAGAATGCTTGCCCAGGACAGGAGGCCTTGCCCCACAGGAGTTAAGGATAACGAGTGTCTAACGGTGTACCCTTACAGGAGACAGACTGGACTGAGCCCTGGCTCGTCGGGCTTGCCATCTTCCACGTGCTCTGCCTGCTTTTCACATGCTTCTCATCCCAGAGTTATAAACTACAGATTGGGCATTTCCTGTGCCTGGGTGAGTAGGACAAAACACAGCTCAGACTGCTGTGTGATAGGAAGGTGTGTGTGCTCTGTCCATGCCATCAAAATATGTAAATATTCTTGTAAGACCTCCCAACCCTTCTGTCATGTGTTTGCTTTGATTTTTAGGGCCCTCCCAGATTTCACTCTTGGGAAAAGTAACTTTTGAATATCAAATTTGAAAGGAATCTGTTGAATACCTACTACATACCAGGGAAGGTGCTAAACACCAGTTAGCAGAAAGGAGCATTTGGTGACTGCCTTTTACAGGAGATGTTTTCCTCCATGGGCTTACTCTGCTCTTGTGTGATTTTGTCTGGGAGGAAGAATGCAAATTAGGAATGTAAACATTAGACTTTTCTCAAGTTAGTTTTAAGGATAAGAACTACGGGACTTTAGAGAAGGAATGGAGTTACATGGGATGGCTGGAAAAGATTGCACAGAATAGCTGAGGTCCTGACACAGGGGGTGAAAAGTGAGTAAAATATTAATGAGAAAGGAGGAGGTGACTGGCCTGGCCTGGCCCGAGACCTGGGGAGAAGGATCCCAGGTGAGGGCAGAGGAAAGCAACCTGACATTCAGGGTGGGAGGTGATGGAGAGTGTGGTTCTGAGTTGAGAGAAACCAGTACCCCTGCAGGTGTGAAGCCTGGCTGGCACCGAGTAGTCACCGATGTGCTGGGTAGAGAAAGCGGGCAGGGCCTCTAGACCTGGCTGAGGCTCGTGGCTCTGGGTATCAGAAAACCACTGCAGGTTTTGTATGGTTGTGAAAAATGCAATAACTAGTTTCAGGTAAGTTTAACCAGCTGACTATGTGCAGGGCCGAAAATCTGAACAAGAGCTTGTTTCAGAAAGACTGGAGTGAAGTGATGAGAGTTTACATTATAGCAATAGTCTATGCAAATAAGGGAAGGGCAGAGTAAGCTCTTTACCAAGTGTGTACTGAGAAATGCCAGTGTGAACAAAATAGACACTGCCCCTTATTCTTTTAGAGCTTTGGTAGAGTACTCGGTGAATAGCACATACCTGGTTATGTTGCTATCAACTGTGACGAGTGTTGTGATGGAAGTCAAAACCACAGTGAAACATGATGAGGGTCCTGATTTAAATCATGGCAATACCTTTGAGCTGTGATGCGGAGAAATAAGCCAGGCAGCAAGTTTGTGGCAGAGGGATGCAGGGAATGCTCTGACAGGGAGCATGGTAGGTTCGGAGGCAGGACCCCCAAGGAAAAGTGATAGCCTCATCAAGTGAGCGAGTATGTCTGAAACCGTTTGTCAGCTAAAGAGCTGTGTAGGGGTTTGATATTTTCTGAAGTGGAGGGAGGAATGACTGCTTTCACATTTGGGTAATGACAGACAATGTTCTGCATTTCTTGTAACTCATTCATTCTCAAACCAACTGAAGGTAGGTACCACTTGCCCAGTTTTACTAATGAAACACACAAAGGTCCACTCACTCCCCAAGCTACACAGCTCATAGAATGTGTCATCAAGATCCAGGCTCACTGGTCCAGGGTGTACATCTGCATGTTGTTAGCAATTGGGGAACGGGACGTGATGGCATCCCCCATCCCTGCGCCCATCCTCCACCCTTCTACTGTGCCAGCGTCCCCCTACCCATCCTCCTTCTACCTCCTTTGCCAGCCTCCCTCCACTTCCCTCTGCCTGGGCCACCCTCCCGCTACCCCTTTCCTCCTAAGCCAGCCCCCCTTCACCCCCTCCATCCTCAGCCAACTTCCCTCCACCCCCTCCTCTGCCTGCCTCCCTCCACCCACTGCCTCCTGGGCCAGCCTCCCTCCTCATCCTCCTCCCGTGCCAGCCTCCTTTGACACCCTTCCTCCTCGTGGGCCAGCTTCCCTCAACACGACACCCTTCCTCCTCCTGGGCTAGCTTCCCTTGACACCCTTCCTCTTGGGCCAGCCTTCCTCCAGCCCCTCTTCCTTGGCCAGTCTCCCTCTACCCCTCTCCTGGGAAAGCCTCCCTCCACCCCCTCCTTCTGGGCCAGCCTCCTTCCACCCCCTCCTCTTGTTCCAGCCTTCTTCCACTCCCTCCTCCCGAGCCAGCCTCCCTCTAACCCCTCCTCCTCTTCCAGTCTTTCTCCAACCCCTCCTCCTGTGCCAGTCTCCCTCTACCCCTCTCCTGGGGCAGC